TTTATTTTATATAAATAATATATTAATTAAGTTCCCTATTCTTTTTATTCTAGTAAGTAGTAAACTTATTAATTTTTACTAGTTTTTTATTAATATCTTTTACTTTAGTAATCTAATCTTTAACTTTACTATATACTTCCTTAATAGTAGTAATATAATTATAGTTATTATTAAAATCTTCTTTATTATCTATAGGTAAAGTAATTACTTTTTATATCTTAATTTTATTATCTAATTTAGGGTTTAAAGTAATAGGTAGCTTTCCTTTCTTAAGTACTATAATTCCTAGATATTAGTATTACTTAATAAAATTACTTATTAAATAGGAGTAGTTAATATATTATAATCTTAATACTAGCTTATTAATAGTATTAAGTAGATATAATTAGTAATAAGATTAAGGTGTTGTCTATTAGTAGTAGAGTAAGGTAGTTAAGTAGTATTTATAGGATATAAGTAAGGAATATATATTTAAGTATAAGGGTATAGTTATACTTAAATTAATTACTAGAAAGTTTTAAAAGATAAACTAGATATATAGGGTAAACTATAGTTTATATAGATATTTCCCTTTTAAGCTCTCCTTAGATTACCTTAGCTTACTATAATCTTATATAATCTAGATTACTTCTAGATTACTATAAGTATAGGTAATCTAGTATTTTTATAATTTAGTGTACTTCTGTAGTTTACTTTTTTCTGCTGGTCTTGACTGCTTGGCCTTCTGTCCTAGCTATATATAGCTGTGATATATATAGATATTTCCTTTTTAAGCTTTTCCTAAAACTAATAATTAGTTTACTTAGTCTTTAGTATAGGATTATAATAAACTAATTATTAGTCTTATTAGTTCTTAGTAGACTAGTAGGACTGCTTTTTGGTCCTGTCGGTCCTATCTTTATTGGTCTATGATCTCCTGTAGTTTACCTTTTACTGCTATGTCTGACTGCTCTGGTTTTTAAAATGGTTAGCTCGTGACAATCCTCTTCTTCGCGACGCTACACCGTGGGGCTAGTAATCGTCTCATCAAGGTCGTGAAACGCGTTCTCTCTATCATTGGTTCCGAGAATGTGGGCATCTTACAGGTGCTCGACTAGAAGAACTCGCAGCTTGAGCAGATCTACACGAACTTCATGTCCAGAACCAGAACTCTGGAGATTAGCTGTATTATGAACATCCGTGAGGGGTTGTCTACCGAGGGACTTGGTGAGAAGGTTAGTACAGAAAAGTAAACTCCCCTTTATTAATTAGGCCACCTGATCGCGATCGCTAACTAAGTACCTAATTACAGCTCGTGGCGGACTTTTCGACGTATTGTGAGGATCCTTTCTGGGATTCCATCTTCATCTACGCCGACCATAGAGGAGTGTGCAAGTTTGACCAGAGGGACAGTGGCTACGAGCAAGTTATCGATAAGCTGAGATGCTACGTGGAGATGGCGAAGGAGTGGAACCGGGCCAGGATCGAGAGACTGAAGCGTGAGTTGGATATGGAAGATAGTGATGCGAGCTGTGAATCAACAGAAGGCTGATCAGAGCCCTGGAGCTCGATAATAATATAGCTTCGCTCCCAATCTCTAGCATCCCATTTGTTAAGAACAGACGATTTGTTCGACGCAAAGTTGTACTCGACCAAGTGATACAGAAACTAGCTCACACGGGCGAGGCGCAGCGAATGGTGGTATTGCAAGGACCAGGAGGCATCGGGTGGGTGGTTTCAATAGAAAGACCAGTCGTGACCGTAACCTGGGGTTTTTTCTTTTTTTTACTGACTCGAGTCTTTTGCCATGACGCAGAAAAAGCAGCATTGCACTTGCCTATGCTCATTCCGCCGTCGCACAGGGCATCTCCGTTTTCTGGATCAACGCATCGAGCAAGGATGACATTGTGAGGGGCCTGCGGAACGCTCTGCTTGCCCTCAAGATCAAAGTCCTAGCTGACCTTGACATGCAGTCCAACGCCCTTCGGGTCAAGAAGTGGCTGGGGAACAAGGACAACGGCAGCTGGGTCTTGGTTCTTGACAATGCCGATGATCGCTCCATTCATTTCCAGGACATCCTTCCCCAAAGCAAGCACGGGGGTGTGCTTTTCACATCACGCGACAAGCGCCTCGCTTCGGCTATTGGCGCTACCGAAGTTCCCGTTAGCGTCATGACCGCGGCTGAGGCAGTCGAGCTTTACTGGAAGTACAGGTCCAATGCAGGAGAACCCCCCATCCATGAAGCGAACCCCGAAACAGAATCGACGGATTCACAGTCTCCTGTCCTAGTCCAGGACAGCCAAGGGGATGTCGAGCGCCTCGTGCAGAAACTCGGCTTCTTTCCCATGGCCATCGAAAACGCCGCCGCGTATCTGAGAGAAGCGAACCTCATGCCGGGGCCGAATCTCACAATCTCAGATTACACCCATGCTTTGGACGAGGCGGTGTCGCTTGACCAATCTGCCAAGGACCAGATCGAGACCATTCTTGGGTTTCAGGAGGCCTTCTCGCCCTATCCACAAAGTATGTTGTCAGTCTGGGAGTTATCGCTACAGATGTTGATGCGCGAAAGCGAGAGAGGCCCAAAGCTTCTTGAGCTCCTCGGATTTCTAGGGCGGAATGTCTCGGAGGACTGGATCCGAGCTCCGATGACAACTGGGTCTGCCGGGCTTGCGTTCGCCGATGGCCGGAAGCACACCTTAAGCAGAGAACCGACGACGCTACTGCGTTCCAAGATGTCTTTTCTCCGGAGCCGCGTGACCTATATCGCCACCGCCGCCAAGCTCTGTAACTTGTCCCTCGTGCGAAGGGTCTACTTGTCCGGCCAGGGACGTTGGTACCTTGACATGTACCCCCTTATCCACCTCTGGGTACGATGTCGTTTAGCAGACCGTCCTGCTTACCGAGCGTCCCTCTTCCGACGAACTATACTCCTCAGCGAGTTCTCCATAGGCAGCCCGTTCGTATACCATGCTTTGGAGTCCGCCAAGTCAGATAATCAACAGCCCTCAACGGCTTTCCAGTCGCTCGTCAATACCAGAGAGTACGCGTCAGACCTGCCCGTGGAGTGCATCACATTCTACCTATTCATGGCTCTCGACAACTATGGACAGAGTTTATGCTTCAATGAAACGACTGCCAACGCCCTTCTTGCTTCCGTAGCACAACAGGAGCGTGAAATAGCCGGGCTTCTAGCGAGACTCGGGTCCGCCGTCTTCCACTTGTACCGGCAGTTAGAGGGGAAAGAGAAAAATACCGAGGACACTCACGGTTCCCGAGATTACAACCTCACCTTCTGGGCTGACGTTGAAGTCACGGCTGACGCGCTGGGTTCCGCCCCATATGGCTTCACCGAGCAGCGAATTCAAACCATAGTAGATATCTTAGCATATCTCATTAGTTGCTGGTGGAAGACAGTGCCCAGCCCGGGGCTCCAAGAGCTATATGCTATCGCGAACGGTGAAAACCGTCTCTCTCCCCAGACCTCAGCCACTCTCGCCTTCATGAACCGCTTTTGCAAAATCAACATGGCTGAGGACATGCTCCACTCGGCTCGCGGGCCTGCGTTGGCGCACGCCATCTTCCAATATCTGCCTCTAGACCAGTCGGTATCCCTCCTCGACTCACACTTGAACACGGCAGTGCACACCCTTCCGGCCTTCAAAGCAGTCGAGTACATGGACGGACTGATTAAAAATCTGAACAACCTAGTCGCCAGGAAGCATCCAGGGCCGTGGGGGGAAAAAGCCTGGGAGACGTTTGTACACTGTATCCGCCATGAGCACATCCACGATGCCCTGTACTCGACCACCTCCTACGGATGGCATCAGGGAGAGTTCCTGCGCGACAACCCCCAGTCTGTCTACGCCGTACACAGCCAGCGCAAACTGCGCGAGACACATGAGCTGCTCGCAAAGCTGCTCTGGGTCTGCGGTCTCCGGGACAAAGCCGATTGCGTACTGTCCCATTATATCCTCTTTGTGAGCGACTTCAAGGTGATGACGCACGCACCATCGTCTTCGTTAGGGCGGCCCACGACACCGTTGCCCGCCCATTGGTACTGTGTGGCTGAGGATTTACAAAGTCTAATGTACCGCTTCCTCTGGGAGATTTCAGAAGATGAGCTGCCGCAGGGGGATCGCGATAATAATAACGCCGTCGAGTTTGCCGCTTTGCTGGTATCGGGCTATCTGACGCTCATGAGGATGCATTTCGAATGGGTCAAGACCCATGGAGAACTTCGCTGTTACTACGAGGCTCTGCCCGACTTCGAGTGGGACAACGCCAAAGCGCTTTCTCTGCTCGCCGAGTTTCTCCTTATGAGAAAAGATCTGGTGGGCAGGATAGAGGTGTTTGAGGCTGTTGGTGATGACGAAACGTGGAACCACCTCAAGCACCAGCTGGCCACCCGAGCGGAAGTCTTCGAGTCACTCGCCGAGTTCTCGTGCGTGATGCCCTACAAGTTACTCTTGGGTGCCTCTGCGGACACTACCCGCCCACTCAGCGACTGGTTGGAGATTTTTGACGAGATCTTCCAAACCGACTATATCGGCAACGTTGAAATGGGGAATATAATTGTGGAAAACACTCAGCGGCCCTCAGAATCGGAGGAATCGGCAGATACTTTGCCAAACCCTAGTGCAGCACCGCTCGAGGTCGACCCGGTTGTATTTCGCAAAATGACGGCATTTTGGTTGGCGCTTTGCAGCGGCCGAAAGGACCTCGCGATGCGTGAGAAGGACTCGCATCGTCTGGCGACGTGGCTCCGTAGCGCGGAAGATCGAATGCCCATTCCTGCCCGCTTTAAGTCCTCAGACCCAGCTCGGAGCCTATACTGTGGACTTTTGCAGACATGGGAGGGCGATCTAGAGGACCTTACGCAGACTCTTGCGGCTCGGAATCTGGATATCGGTCAGAGTTATGAGGATTTGCCGATAATGAGGCTGCTTGGGGTCACAGAACCCGGAACCGATGACAATACAACTGAGAGACAATATACTTACAAGGAAGTCAGATTGCTAATCAAAGAGCAGGGAGAAGCCTTCTTCAAGATGCCAAATTTGCACTACGTACAGTTCGACTCGGCGACTGTTCATGAAGACCTTGAGGGGGGGTCAGATCCAGGGAATGCTATTGTTGTTTCGATGCCTGCGTTCCATCTGTCGGAGTTTGGCAACTTGAATTTAGGTTGATCAAGGAGCAAAAGAGAAGCCGTAATATGCCTGTTTTTATGTTTATTCACGCTTAAGGGCCAGTTTTGTTGGTAGTTTGGGGGCCTGGTGGCGGTTGAACGTTGCTATAGTTGTGTCAGAAGGCTAGTTACATGTACCTATGCAAGTTCGTCCTCCTTCATCCAACCTTTTAAGCCCCCAGTGGTATCCTAGACTCACGAGGCGGTCTCGGCCGAACCGTCCTACAAGCGGCCATCGAGCAGTGCAACGTCGCCGTGGTTGAGCCGGCGAGCTCCGGGCCAACGTCAACGTTGAGGGTGACGTCAAGGCCGGCACGACAGAGCCACTGAAGACGACCTTGGTTCACCTCCACATCGACTTTGATCGCACCCGGGACATCAAATGGCATTTCGCATTCCGGGGGTATTCTTGGAGTCCCGCTGCAGGAGAACGGCGACGAACAAGATGATGATGAGGAGGAGGAGGAGGAGGAGGAGGAAGACGAGGGGGAGGACGAGGGGCATCGATAGACGAGGGTAGGGCGGACTCGCGCGGTTCTAGCGAATCGTCGCCAAGTTGCTTGAGGCCGGCGCGGTGGAGCCCGAGACGAACAGCCCCGACAGAAGACAACTCCTTTCTCCTGAAGGAGGCTGCGAGCTTTTTTCCTAAGCCAGGTGGGGGATATGCCTCATCTCGGCACGGAGCACATGAAAACCCTCGCCTCGGGGATATCCAGCCGCTTTAACTTTGCTAGACAGCCCGAGGCTCGTACGCCGGCAAACCTCAGCCGTGTCCGCATCCGGCCTGGTGTTATAGAGGACTATAGCTCTTCCTTCCCGAAAGGGGAAGATGTACTGTTTATCTAGTAAGTTTGGCTTTGGCTTTCTCTACCCTCTTTTATTTTTATTTTATTTTTATTTTATTTTTTATTTTTTGGCCCTCGCCGTGTTCATGTTGGACATCTATAGAGAAAGTCCCTTCCCAATGCAGAATATATCTCTATTGAGGGGGAAGGGGGTGGGGGTGCTAGGTAGGCATTTGTTACCAGCATCATCGACTCGCGGACAACGATGAAACGGACCCCCCTTCACCTTGCGGCATAGAGTAATACAGGTCCCCAGTCTGATATTTCAATATTTCCTTTTTCTTTTTCCTGGTTTACTTGATCAACTCCTGAGGTACCTGAGCAGGGGTGGGCGAGGTGTTGCAGTGGTTCCCGCCACGGGATTGGCTGCCTGGATCCTTCGCTGTCTGTTCGGACGTAAACTACCTATATTATAAACTCCGCCGATGACATCGAGTGATCCCCTGATTGATCATCAGATTAGGCACCCAGTACGAAGTAAAGGATTAGCGAATAACCTCAGCGTTGGATGACGCGTAAGACAGACTGCCAAGATGCCCCGCATTTCGAACTCCGATGTTCAAGGTGACCTAAGGGACATAACCACCCGCTTCCTCTGTCACCGACTTTTCCTTCTTTTATTTCTTTTATTTTCTTATATTTTATGTTCCCCAACGATTAACATATCCTCCGCTTCCACTGCACGTTTTCACCATGGGCCGCTGGTCCTACCTCGATACTGACGCTGAGCGTCTGCCTGAGGGTATGACACGCGTCGGCTACGACGCCGATACGCAAGTTTATAGATATCTGGACACGACCGATGGTAGCTACTGGGAAGGCGCACCCGGTTGCCGGTATGGAAAGCTATTTCGGGTCAGGGATACGGCAACCCCACTCGAATCCGTCGTGATTGAAGACAGGGTCCAGGGCGAGGAGCCTGATCCGGAGCTGAATAAAGGCATTTGGGAGCATCAAAACGCGTCAGAGGTTCCTCGTCGACAAGACAGTCTCGTACAAAAAATCATTACCAGATGGAATTCGATTAGGCGCTTGTCGCGATCGAGTTCGATGACGTCTGCAACGGTCGTTAACGAGAACGACACTGCTGCCAAACCTTCACTGGATTCGAAGACCGAGAACCATGGGGAGCAGAGTCCTCCTCCAAAGGCATCAAGCCTTGTCCAATCTCCAACTATGATTGACAGCCCAACCCTTGAAAAGGACGACGGGGCGGCACTGTCGAAGACTTCATCTGGGGAGACCTCATCGCTCAACGGTGCTGAGTAGATTGCACATTGTTGGATGAGGATGAAGGTCATGATTCAGACGATACCATATTTACAGACCAGCGCAGCGGAGATTTTTGCTCGGATATCTTCACTTTTTGTTCTTTTGAATTTTATTTGATTTTTTTTTCTCTTTTTTTTCTTTCCTTTTTTGGGTCATTTCATGCAGCCATAGGAAAATCGTGCGTTCCTGTCAAGCATATTTACAACAAATTTAGTATTACATTCATGATTTATACTCACTCAGTTTAAACATCCATCAATCTATTCTTTATCAATGTATACATTCCCAGCAGTGACTTTGCTAATGGCTCACTCTATCACCTTCCAACTAAAGATACCAAGACAATAGCAGCTATTATGGTTAAACCAGCCTCAAATACTCCCCACTTACTGATCGACAATGAACCCATCCCGGTGGGGCCGCATCTTGATCGGTTGAACAAGCGGTGGTCGAATATCTTGAGCATTCTGCACCAGATTGATTCCAAGGCCAGGCCCTGAGGGAATATCCACAAAGCCACCCTTGGGCAGGGGCACATAGTCCACGATATCGCTTCCTAGGTGTTTCGTTGTGCTTTCGAACACGCCGGCCTCGAACCCGGTAGCGTACTCTTGAATGGCAAAGTTGGGGATCGCCGCCGCAACTTGAAGACACGCGGCCAATCCGATTGGCGAGAGAGGGTTATGCGGTACGACTTGGACGTGGTTGGCCTCGGCCATGGCAGCGACCTTCTTGGCGCCGGTGATGCCACCGCAGACTGCGACGTCGATGCGGGCATACTCGACGGCATCGCGCGCGAGAAGGGCCTGGAACTCGTAGATTGTGCAGAACCGTTCTCCCGTCCCAATCGGGACTGAGATGCGACTTGCTACGCGAGCCATGGCATCCACATTCTCAGGTCGGATGGGATCTTCGACCAGCATCGGGTAGGTATCCTTGATGCCGTTGCAAAAAGTGATGGCCTCGGCGGGGGTCAAGCGCCGGTGCAGCTCTACGAGGAGATCCACTTTGTCGCCCACGACTTCGCGCATCCTTTTGACATTCTCAATGGCGTCCTGCATCTTTTGAACGTGCGTCTTAAAGTACACCTTATCGGTGCCCTCGTCGAGGAAAGGGTTGATGTGGCCGAAGGCCGTAAAGCCCAAGTCCATTTTCCTCTTGCACTCGTCGAGCACCTTTTCAATCGTGCTCTCGTAAATGTGTCCGTAGACTCTTGCCTTCGTACGGCACGCGCCACCAAGGAGATCATAGATCGGGACTCCGAGAGCCTTGCCCTTGACGTCCCAGAGGGCGATATCGATTGCGGATATGGCAGAGTTGATGGCTAGGCCCTGGAAGTAGCTGAAGCGGTGCATGACGTTCCAGTGGTGTTCGATGTCAAAGGCTCGCTTGCCGACGAGGTATTCCGCGAACCGCTTGATGCATGTCGCTGCTGCTTCGATGTGGCCCCATATTCCGGCTTCGCCGTAGCCCACGATACCTTCGTTGGTGGTGATGCGGCAGAACATGAACTGGCCCACGTGGAGGGGCTCCACGGTCTTGATTATCTGTTCCTTAACCATCTTCGATCTCGTCAATGGTGCCCTTTGCAAGGTCGATGAGTCGGACTACCCACCGTGAATGGTGTATAACGATGCTTCCTTTGCGAATGTGAAGATGTGTGTTGCAAGGTTGAATTTGAGTCTCTCTACGGCATCTTGTGTCCATATTTAAATCACGAGGGCTCCGATATATTTGACGAAGTGCCCAAGTTCCACTTCCCTGCCAAATGGTCGCTTCCTTAAAATTGCCGATATCGCACATGGGGTCTGATGGAATCGTAAGCCTCGATAAAATCAAGATTTGCGATGGCATCAAGTGCACTTCCGCGATTGTCCGGTGCGACTTGACTGGCGACTCGTCCGGATATATTTCCGGATGTGGCAGTGATGATAGCCGAAAATGGTGCCGGGGCTATAGCCGGCGTCACGGCGCCAGGCCACACTGGCTAAGAGTCCTAAAGCGGTCAACAATGATAGCAAAAGAGTATGTATTACTGCCTCGGTAGCGGCGTCAATGAATGTACAAAACATTATGTCGCTATGGGAAGACTACATTCTGCTGCTCCCTGACATTATCCAGCAGCACGCCCTTTTCCAAGGCCGAACGCATGTTTGCGATACAGCGTTCTTCCATCTTTAGGTGAGTCTAGTGCCAATACTGCAAGTTAGCGCATTACTATCGTTACCGCCGCTGGATAATGGCCAGAAAATACCTCGACTGTGTAAGTCCCGAGGTGCGGCAGAAGCATCGCCCGTGGGTGAGCCAGTAAATCGGGGTGTACCAAGGGTTCATTTTCGTAGACGTCAAGCCCGCACGACCACGCTTTGCCAGTATTCAGAGCATCGACGAGGGCATCTTCGTTTATTATGGGACCGCGTGATGTGTTTACGATTATGACGCCTTGCCTCATTTTGTCGAATTCGGCAACAGAGATGAGGTGTCTCGTGTTAGCCTAGAATTTGGTTAGAGTTTGCTTTGTCGAGCGGTCGTAGCTGATAACACGTACATTTAACGGTAGACAGATCGAAAGCACGTCGCTTTTCTTCAGCAATGTCTCGAAGTCGACGAACTCGGCCTCTGTGACGTCGGCAGACTTGATCCTGTTGTGATAGATGACCTTCATGCCAAAGATGCCCGCTTTCCTAGCCAAGTTCCTGCCAACACCACCGCATCCTAATATGCCAAGGGTCTTGCCCTGCGGATCGTGACCAAGAGGCGGCTTCGGGCTCCCACGCCATTCGCCGTTTCTCAGCGTCGTGATTCCCTGGTTAAAGCCTCGAAGAGCCCCGAGGATCAGGAACATGGTAGTATCTGCGGTGGCATCGTTCACGGCTCCGGGCACGTTCGAGACCCGTATCCCTCGATGTGTACAAGCATCGACATCGACTTGATCGTATCCAGCTCCTTGATTCCAGAACAACCGAGCCTCAGCTATGGCGCTTCTTGATGTCCATATAGGGAATTTTTTGGCTTACCGCTATGACAGATAAACCTGACCGTGGACGGCAACACCTGGATAAGGTCTTTGTCGAATGGGCCGGTAATTTCTACGCTGTAGAAAGTTCGGTAAATGGCCGTAACGCCGTCAAAGCCGCCTTCCTGGGACTTCTTTATAAACCCCTCGCGAGTCACGACTCCCACACCAACCAAGTCTGCGAATTGCGACAGACGTGACCATGCTTCCTTGGCGCTGCGACGGGTGTCAGCGACAGCCTGGAAAATGCCGATCTAACTTGGAAGGATAGACGAACTGGACAATTTCACCTAGCAGCAAAACTTTTGGCCGTATCATCGTGATGCACACGTGTTCATCCAAGTAAACTATTTCACAGCCGATATCTAGTTTAATGTTGAGGACGGTGCCATCATTAAGAATACCACCACGCTAGGACTACAAGTGGAAATATCGGATAAAGGTGAGTTGAAATTCCCGGGACTCTTGTTTCATTCCCGGAGGCCCGCTTTGTTACCCGGCCTAACCGGACACACTACGTACTACTCTGATCACCCTCGACGCCATGATCCTTCTGCTGCCATTCCCAAATCACATAATCCGATCAATCAACGCTACTCCAAGTATAGCTTTGGATCCATGGAACTGAGGTCTGGGATCATCCCACCGAGATCGAGAGCCTAATGCAGCACGTTAACACATTCACCTCGGACGTCACAGAACGATGTGTGATTGTGCCATAACATACCAGAGAATCTAATTGCTCCCAGTTGGGCAGGTCAAGGAGTCCGAACTGGTCCACCTGTGTCTCATTGCCGGGCCACTGAATCGAGCTAGATTCAGCTGGAAGAAACGCCGCAGGCATGTCCCGCGGCTCCTGTCCACCGCTTGAACCCCTGGATCCATTAGAATGATGCTTGGAAGCTCCAGGTCCCGCCGAACAATGCTGCAGAAGTCTCACAACTTCCGACCGAAACTCTTCCATGATCACAAAGAACCGATAAGCGAGGGAGTCAAATCCCGCAACAGTGACAACCTGGCCCTGGCACCGCTCTGCAGCGCGAAAGTATCGCATCCACGTAGATGTGTCCTCAGCTCTGCTGCGGATTGTGTACGTGTACAGGACAACGACGGCACAGAAGGCCTGGTAATGGGCGAACCAGGACGCGGCGTAAAACTGGTTAGCCTCCACCATGCGGTCGATTACTTCGACGATTCCCATAGCCGCCTCGACGCATTTCTGGATATTCGCTTTGGTTTCCGCCGCGTCTATCTGCTGGTAATCGTTGAAGAGACACGGCCTGTAGATGAGGATCCGTGCGTGCCCCATGGCAAGGCTCAATAGGTTACTTTGCCGCTGGAACAATGGTATGAGAAGTCTGGAATCTACCTTTTCCGGGTCTAGGAACGCCGGCAGCCGCTGTCTCCACGCTTCTACCTCCGCGCCCAGCTCGCTCATAGTCTCGTATTGCGTTACTAGGTCGAGGGGTTTGATCCCGTAGAGACGGCGGAGAATACTACTTAAAATTCTCCCCAACCTCTGGTGACTGAGAGGGCCCAGCATGACATTCATGTTAGCCCTTCCAGCAACAGTAATCGAGTCAGCAGTTAAAAATTCGTCCTCAACTAAGGCCGGCATGTCCTGGTCGATGTCATCGTCATGGAATGCACAAGGTCGGCCAAAGATGGCACTAAGGTACTTATCGAGATTATAAGCACACCAGAACAGCCTCTTTCTACACTCTACCTCCACTAGGTCCGTGGCGCTACCGGAGCCGCCTTGGAACTTGGCTTTTTTCCGATGCAGTCCAAGGGCGAGGATGTGCCGGGCCGTAGTTCCGAACAGGCTCCAGCAGTGGTTAAGCCGCGATCGTGTAAGTATGTAGAAGCATGAGCCTAGCATGGCTTGTACACTTGTTAGGGTGGCTGACTCCGTTTCTCGGGACAGCTGCCTTTCGGCAGCTTGGAAGTATTCCACTCTGTGGTGCGTTTCAGTATGACATTTCTTGGCAGCTGAGAAAGTACGTATCACCTGAAAATTAGCATTCTCAAAAACTTACCCGGTGTTGGCGTTTGGAGAATTCGACGCCACGCCAGTATACCGCACCGCCTGAGCAAACATGGTCAAGATGACGGCGTATTTGCTGCGGGAATGGCTCCCGGAAATGCTACCATTGTCATAGAGCTGTCTCAACCATCGCTCAACCGTCGGTCGGTGGAGGAAGCGATACGTCGGCGAGGCCAGCTCAAAATACGTTTTTAATAAACCCTCGGCCTCTTGGCGAGAGGGAGGAATGAAGCCAAGCTCATCAAACTCGGGGAGGACAGCATCTCCAAGCGTGAACACCGACGTCTCCGAACTACCTCCGGCATCTCGCCGGAGACGACGTTGTAGGCGAAGGAGAAAGGCGACACTAGAGGAAGCGCCCACGAAATGTCCTTGACGGTCGCTCTCCTCAGGTTCTGGAGACGATCGAGACGCAGGCGCTAGAGGTCCAGACGGCTGAGCGTGGGCGTTGATGGCTGGCACTGAGACTGCAACTGCATCCGTGGGATGTAATTGAGAGCTCTCCACGCCCTCATTTGGTGGTTGCGGAAGTGATTGTTGTTCCTGCTGTGTTTGGGGGGAAATGTCTAGTTCAATCGTTGCTGGAGGGGACATGGGCGATGCGTCGGACGAGGGAGTGGCGAGGTGGAGGGGTTTCCTCTTCTGCTTTTTCCTTCCCCGGGAGTAAGGAGCCTTGTACTCGCAAACCTCGTCTTCGTTGATACACCTTTCGCATGGCTGCGTTCCAGTGCACCGGATCTTTTTCCTGCCAAAGTATCAGAATTGCATGTAAGTTGTAGACGATTATAATGCGCGATTCTGCAACGCAGAGGCATGAAATGCCAGACGTAGGCTATCGCTCGCATAGACCCAAAGCAATCACTCACTTCTTGCAATAATCGCAGGCACGGCTGATTCTCATACGTTCCTTGGTGGGCTTCTCGCCGCCGGCTGTCGTGGCTACAGGAGCTGTTGCCGGCCCCGGAGTCTCACTGGGATCCATCCCTAGTTAGCGGATGATTAAGGTCTTTTGACCTGCGGATAAAACCATGGATGGATCCGGATAAGCAAAGCAAGACGCAGCTACACTTAAGTAGATCCGGTCGTACTTCCTTGGAGACACTTCTATGGCAGCACAACTGAAGAGTGCGGGGAAAATCCGGGGGAAGACTTGAGTTGCTGCACGCACAGAATCTAGGTCGAATCTAGGTCGAAGCAATGGTGGTGGGGTGAGAGTGGAATTTGGGGGGGGGGGCTAAAAGGTGGGCAGTGGGCGGTGTGTGCTGTGCGGTGTGGTCAATGATAAGGAGGGGGCGAGAGGGCAAGCTATTGGAGAGATTGAGAGCAACATCGATCAATAATGAACATGTTAAACTTAAAACTTAGGGGTAATAAGCACTTGCCATTATTATCAATACTCTATAGCAGGGGGCTAATATTAGGTACTATTCCTACCTATAATAGTAATGGAGGTATAGGGTGGGTAAGTGAAATCATTGTAAATTATTGTGAAGTATACTAGTATACTAGTCTATATAGTATATACTTCAACTTATTTAAAGTATAATTAGACTTTATTCTTAACTATACCTTAAGATAATTCTTAATAAGACAGATTGACCTTAGTATTGTAATATTATTATTAAAATATTATATATAATATAAAAATCTAATCTATTTTCTTATTATTATTTTAATAAAGATAATAAAAATATAGATAATTTTAATTAATACCTATTAAAGGATTAGCTATTAATATTATATACCTCTAGTAGCTAAGTGATAATAATACTACCTAGTTATTACTAAGCTATTAGTATTATATTAACTTTAAGCTTATTTTAAAGTCTATTTAACTAATTAATCCTATTATTAAAGGCTACTAGGAAGCTCTAAAAGAAATCCTAAACTTAATATTAAGGTAAATCTTATATTAGCTCAGCTTTAGATAGGCTAATTAAACTAAAAAAGCTTAGCTATTATTAAACTATAATACTAGGTTTATAGAGACTAGATTTATATAAAGATATTAACTTTAATACCTAAGGAATTAAGTCTAATAATAAGAATTTATTAATTTATTTTAATTTAAATATAATTAAATATTCTTAATTATATAAGCTTATATTACCTCTACTTTTATTAGATATTTTATATATTCCTATTATAACTTAATATCTCTTTCTTTTATTTTATATTTAAAAGGAAATATTATTACTATAATATAAGCACATACCTCCTACTATAAATAAATAGTTAGAAGCCTATAAAAAAGATAATATTATAAGGATTTTAATTTAATTTAAACCTACCTAAATAGAACTCTAGATCAAATTACTAATATTAATAAAGCTACTATTTTATTATTCCAGTCCTACCTCTCTTTAATAATCCCCCCTAACTACTAATCTCAGATCTCAATTATTAAGATTACCTTAGTACTTACTTATATATCTTCTTATTAAGCCTATATTTTTTTTTTTTCCTCTTTTCTCTTATTTCTTTTATAACTCCTATAATACTAAAAACTTATACTTACCCCTAGTTTTTAAAACTAGGTCTTATATTAAGTATAATCTTTATAGACTATAATATAATTTATAGCTAGTTAGTAATAATTTTATATAGATTATATAGCTCTATAAACAGCTTCCTACCTTATAGTCCATCTTAATTTTATCCTTTATATACTTATAGAGAAATATAGATACCCTATAAAATAAAGTAGTAATATACTACTAGTAAATTTAATATTATCTTTAATTAATACTCTTTAATACTAGATATAGTATAAAGTATATCTAATTTTAAAAGGTAAGATATAGTTTAGAACTTTTAATAAGGTAAGAGTAACTAAGATAAGAGTCTAGACTAGTCTAAGTTGTTATCGAGGAGGATTAAGAATAGTATAGAATTATACTATCTTATATTAATCTACTTCCTAGGCTTCTATAAACTAAACTAATTCTATAAGCTTAATATTCTTCTATAATCTAAATTGCAGATCCTATTTATCTCTAGTACCAGAGCAAAACTAGTATATATATAATATTATATTAAAATATTAATAACTTTACTCTAATATATTATAATCCTAACACTAGCCTATTAACAGTATTAGGTAGTTACAACTAGTGACAGGATTAAGGTAGTTGTCTATTAGTAGTAGAGTAAGGTAGTTAAGTAGTATTTATAAGATATTAATAAGAAGTATATATTTAAGTATAGGGGTATAGTTATACTTAAATTAACTACTAGAGAGTTTTAAAAGATAAATTAGATATATAGTAGAACCTATAGTTTATATAGATATTTCCTTTCTAAGCTTTCCCTAAGACTAATACTCTTCTAATATTAGTTTTACTAAGAACTAATTATATTTTCTTATTAGTCCTATTCTAGACTACTAGGACTACTCTATTAATCTTATTAGTCCTAGTTTTATAAGTTTATAATCTCTTATAGTTTACCTTTTTCTACTATATCTAATTATTTTAGGTTTTTAAAATAGTTAGTTTATAATATAATATTTCCTTTTCTCTAGTTTTTATCTTTAAAGATTTATAAATAGACTACTTACCTATTAATTCTTTACTTTCTATAAGTTTCCTATATATATTTACTACTAGTAATATTATTCTAATTAGTATATTAGGTTATATTGAAAAATACTATTCTATTAAATCTATAATTACTTAAAAAGTTTATAAGGTAGATTCTTTAATTTAATATATCTTTGCTAAGGGAAAGGAGAGAGAAAATATATTATATACTTATTATTATAAGTTAAAAATAATATATTTCTTTATAGTAGAATCTTTTTATTATAAGGAATATATTTATCTTAAAAAGTCTTATAATAAGAATTTTATAGCTTTATCTTATAAGTTATTTTATATTTTCTTAGGAAACTTAAGTATTAATATAGTTCCTTCTTAGTTATATATTTCCTAGTAGCTACTTATTAAATAGAGTAAGATTTATCTTATATAGAGGATAACTTAGCTGAGGTCCTGGCCTGCATTGCCTATCTATAGAAATAGAGGGATTTTTTAAAAGAAAAGAATGCTATATTATTTTATTAGGGACTTTAAAGTTTAGAGGAAAGTAAGGGTATTAAAAATATTACTTTTACTATTTAGTAGGCTATTAGTAATATTTAATCTTTAGGTACTTTTAGGGTAGTTAATTAGAAGTTATTAAAGTAAGATCTAATATTACTAGATCCTAGGGCTTTTCTAAATATTTTTAGTAGAATATAGTAAAAAGTTACTAGCTCTCTACTAAGTATTTAATAAGTTTCTAGATATTTTTATTATATTTAAAGTTTTTCTATTTAATTAAATACTTAACTTTCCTATTATTATTATTTATTAAATTAAAAATTTTCTTAATATCTTATATATCTTCTTTAGGTTTAATTATAATAAAATCTTTTATAAATATATTATTATATACTAGTTTAAAAAGTACTATATAGAAAATTAAATACTTTTTTATTCTTTCTAGTAATTCTAGTTTATAGTTAATATTTAAAACTTTTTATTTAATTAAAAATAATTTTAATTTCTTATAATCTAGCTTATTACTTAATTATATAGTTTTAATTTAGAAATCTCTAGTTTCTAGTTTCTTTTATAGTAACTAGACTTTGCTTCCCTTTTTAAGAGTTAGTCTATTAACCTATTTCTAGTCTATATAGTATTTTATTTATTACTAAATAAACTATAATTTTTCTACTAACTACTTATAAAATTCCTTTATTTTATTTACTATAAAGATAGTTTATTTTATTTAAGTTTTAATTTCTACTAGTATAAATCTAGCTTAGGGTTTAATATTATAGTTAGTATAGAATAGTAATATCTTTATACTTTCTAATATATTAATATTATAAGTTTTTTAAGCTAAAGATAATAATAATATTTAATTATCTTATTTTTAATTAATATAGTACCTTAAATATATTTTTAATATCTAGTTTATCTACTTAATTTATCTTTATATTTCTAGGTAGTATACTATAAATAGCTTATAGTTAATTTCTATTTTATTTAATAAGCTTTACTAAAATTTTAAAATAAATACTAGTTCTCTATTAAAGTTAATTTCTTTTAATAGGTTATAGTTAGCTACTATTATTTATAGAAATAATTTAGTAAATTATAGTACTTATATTATTTTATTATAGGATATAAAGTAAATATACTTTATAAGTTAATCTACTATTATTATAATATTATTATATTTAACTTTTATAGTAGAATCTTTTAATAATAGTAGTTTAATAATAAAGTTAATTATAATTTTCTATTATAATACTTTAAGTACTAATATTAGCTATAACTTCCTATAGGGTTTATATTTTAATACTTTATTTTTAGTATACTATATATACTACTTAAAAATATCTTCTATTATTATAAAGCTTATTTTATAATAATAAAATTATTTAAAGATTTATTATATTTATTTTAAGTTAGGGTACTTATATAGTAGTAACTTATAGATCTTCTTAAAGATATTCTTAGCTAGTTATTTAAATATTATAATTCTTTTATTAAACTTCTATATTCTATATTTTTTTTTAATATCTTAAAAGTTTATAAGTAACTTCTAATATCCTTAATTTAAACCTTAATAATAATCTTTAATTTTCTATAATAGTTTTAATTCTATTTCTACTTAATATATAATTATAATTTATTAAAAATTACTTTATTTATTATAATATAAAACTATATTTACTTCCTTAGGTATTTTCTAGAAGTAATTAAAGTACTAGCTAAATATATTAGCTTAACTATTTTCTTTTCTTTTAATATATATAATTTTAAAGTTATATTTTAATAGTTCTTCTATTTAATATACTTATTATTAATTAAATTCTTTAGTTATAGTAAACCCTATAAAGTTTTTATAGTCTAAATAGATTATAATAGGGTATTTAGTACTTACTAGGTAGTACTTCTATTTTTTAAATACTTTAATAATAGCTATTAA